ACTCGCCTTGTAGGCAGAGCCTGTATGTCCGTTATAGCCGAACAAAACTACAGCTAAAAGCGGCCCTGGGGACCAAATTGCCTGTCTGTTATAAGCAAAATTCCATTATATGCGAGTCCACTATAAAGGGATTTTAATGTATTTAAAATTATTCATGGTCAAATTTTATCGCAGGGGACCGCTCCTGCTTGGTGAGTTTTATTGCCAAGATTCCAAAACACCAGAATGGTGTCAAAATACCATATACCACATACCACTTTATAATATCTGCCGAAGCCTTATCTTAACCCAGGTGACTAACTCAGTGTTTGTAATGTCATAACTGCATGTGCATAATACGCAATATTGATATTAACAAAGCACATCATGCAGACCTACCAGTATCAGGGCTGGCCAACTTTGTGGAATTTGTTGGAGTGAGATTTGGAGCGTGGTAAACTGGAGCCTAATCCATTCCAGAAGGCTGTTCGAAAACTGATTCGGTCAAAAACAATCAATTTTTCCCATAAGAAATAATGTAAATTAGATTAATTCATTCCAGACCCCCAAATGATTGCCTATTTAAACCTGTATACATACCTAACATTATAACCATAAATAAAAACTTTAAAACCCATAAATATATTAAATAAATGAAAACAGGCCCATACTCTATAGCAAGACCAGTCATGCGTACACCTCTGCTCATACTTTGCAATTATTTCCTTTTTAAGCTCTTTTGTGGTTCTCACAACTTTCCTGTTTGGTTTGCAGCTAACCTTCTTAGAACTCATGGTGTCTTATCGTAAAACAAAATAAGACCAACAAAAGCAAAAAACACAAGAATAATCACAGCACAATCTAACAGATGTTCATTATATGAGCTTTAGCGGTATTCTGACTCATGTCTTCTCTGCATTGTTTATGTGTAAACAGACACATGCTTTGTCAGACAGGTTTTAGCATAAAAGGGCTGGTTAGCGGAGAACCGAAAATTTCTTCAACACCTGAAACTTTTTTTTACCAAACAATATGTCGAGAACCAAGTCATACGAGATGTGAGATGTTCAAGAACCGAGGTTCCACTGTATTCCCATCTGAAAATCGTAACGCATTTGACTCTTATTTTACATTGACCATATATGTTTAGTATGTTGCACCAAAATATACATATACAATCCATATGTGGCTACAAATGTGACCACAAGTATTGTGAAAGATCATATATCATGCATGTATGAATCACATACAAATATATTCATATACGGGTGGAGGCAATATTAGATACTGGCCATGCCTATTGGAGAGGGTGTTTTATTCAGACTGGATTCAAGTCAAACCCTATAATGATCACTCAGGTATGCCTGGAATACTTTCTGAAGAGAATATTCTGTAGTTAACGGTTATGTGGGAGGAACAGTTTCTGTAAAGGCCCTGTCTCACACATATTCTAGTCTTCCTCTTTGTGTTCAGTTTATTCATAATAAAATCCCTTCTCCCTGAGAGCTGCTTCATGGATCGTCCTTGTGCCATGCTGCCATAACACGTCCTGCAAAAGGGGAGAGATTTAGCTGGAATGATGGTTTTGTAATGTAAGGATACATTTTGTGTTGCTTATGGAATAATTTCTTTCACCACATTTTATGGCATTATTTAGAGCCATAAATTTTAATTTCCATAATTTCTGTTTTAATTTCCACATTTTTTTATATGTGTGTATCTTTAGACTGTTCTCCATTTCTATTCTCTTCATTTGCTCTTCCTCCACAAATACTCACTCTCCACTGTCTAAGGCAACAGCAGAAAGTTCCCAGGCATAAACAATTTCCTATACACAGTTCTAAGAGCTCTAAGAGCTCCTGGTGGTTCGTCTTTACCTTTCTCCTCGTCATTCACAAGCAACCCTCTGTCACCTACATTAACATTGCTGTTTTTTGGCATTTTGCTACTCCAAGGCCTTTGCTACTCCAAGCCCTTTGCTACTCCAAGGCCTTTGCTACTCCAAGGCCTTCATCTCTCTGAGGTTTTAACACTAGAAAGACTGACTGGGTCAATTGACCCAAATCAAACAAAATCACTGCTATTTCTCATTGAAGTTCTTGCTACAAAAATCTGAAAAAAGTTAGCTTCAGTTAGCTTTCGTTTGACAGCTCATGCATATTTTGGCCAAGCATTTGCCGCAAACAGGACGCTTGC